AACCTAAAAATTTATATTTTTTTTTGAAAAGAATTATCTAAAATACTAACAAAAGATTTATTTTTATTTTTTTTTTAAAAAAAAGAAAAAATATTCAAGTGTTAGTTCCGGGCGCTGGATTAGGAAGATTGGCATTTGATATAGTAAACCAAGGTACTAAATTGGTTATTACTTGTACATATGTGTGTTGTGAAATTGATTTATTGATTTATGATTTTGCTTATTGACATAAATAAGGCTTTAGTTCTCAAGGTACTTCATATTTAAATTATTTGATAGAATTTATTAGATTTCAAAATTTATTTATCATTTTAAATTTATATCTATAAATATAGGAAATGAATTTTCATTTTATATGGTAATTTCCATTATCTGTAAATTATCCCAAATACATATCGAACAATTCACTAATTGGCATATACTCAATTAGTTGTTAGCATCACATTTCATATTAAACAGGTAGAAAAGGAAAAGAAATATATATAAAGATCTCCCTCCTAAAAGTATCAATAATAAAAACTTATTTTCTGCTATTTTTTTAGGATAGAGAGAATCAATCAATACGAATTATATCCATTCATCCACTCTTTTTCCAACATTTTGTCATCTAAAGATCAATTAGTGCCTGTTTATATACCAGATGTGCTGCCTAGTAGTATCCCACCTGAATCTGATTTTTCAATGGTGGCAGGAGATTTTACAGAAGTTTACGGTGACAATCAACACATAGGTAGATTAAAAATTCATTGTTAAAATTTTTTTTTGATTTTCATTTTAATTTTATTAAAATAATATTATATATATATATATATGTATGTATATATAAAGGCAAGTGGGATTGTATAGTTACCAGTTTTTTTATAGATACTGCTAAAAACATTATAGAATATATCGAACTCTTTCATCGTATTCTTAAGCCCGGAGGATTATGGATTAATATCGGTAAATGATAATTGTTTAAAAATGGAGATTTGTCAATAAGTAATAATCTTTGTATTGATATTAGGTCCATTATTGTATCATTACGAGAATACACCCGGTGAGATGTCGATTGAGTTGAGTTTAGAAGAGGTTAAAATGGTTGTGAAAAAAACTGGATTTCAATTTCAGGTAAAACTTTTTTAAATGCCAATATTAATTATGTATATGACACGTATTAATTATCATGTATATATATATATATATTCCTTATTTAAACTTCAATATATAAGAGGGAAAACATATTTCAATCAACCTATACAATTAATCCAAATGGAATGTTAAAATATTTATACGATTGTGCATTTTGGACATGTGTAAAACAATAATAAAAAATATTTTTATTATTTTATTATTTTATTATTTTATTTTTTTATTGTTTTATTATTTTATTATTTTATTATTTTATTATTATACAGCTTTTGAAAATATCATTTTTATATAAATCTTATTTTAAGGATTGTTTATATTAGTAAAAAAATTGATCAAATAAAATGGCACCATTAACCAAAAAGAGTAAACATCTTCAACAAGCTTGTCTAGCAAAACAAGATCAAACACAATAACATCACCAATTGATCCTAATATTTCCTCAACAAATATTGGTAAAGCTGTAAAGGTTAAACAAGAATTAATAAATAAAATTAATATGTTACCTGAGAAGCAAGTTTTTTCATGTTCTAAATTGCTTGAAATAATGGTTTATCCAGATGGTGATCATGAGGGTGAAATTATTTCACCATATCTACAAAAAAAAGCAATGAATTTGCTTCTATTGACTCTGGGAAAACCAGAATCTAGTGCCCAAGAGATTGAAAATAAAATAAAATCTATAGAGAAGGAAAATAAAATATTAACAAAAAAAAATGAATCTATTACCTCTAAACATAAATCTTTAACAATTAAAATAAAAAAACATGAAAAAGATAATGATCTTTATATCTCATGAATAAGATCAATGGTTTCAAAAAGAAAATGCATACCTAAGAAAGAAATCCAAAAAGGCATTAAAAAATGGTTAAAGAAAATAAACATACCTAAGCATAATGGAAATTTGAAATGTTACACTAATTTTTTATATTGTGCAACGTAGCTTTACAATACACGGCAAACATTCTGGCAATAAAAAGTAAGTGATAAACTGGATTTGAATTGGATCTGAACTTGATCTCCAATTTAGAAAGGTAACGACTATATACTGGCGAAGTTTCAGAAGCAATGAGTTCTGTATAACGTTTCGTGTAACAACAAACTTCCACTATGCTACATACCTATACACCTGAGTTTATTGCTCTAGTGACCCAAATGAGCAATATAGGCCAATCATCATTGTCATCAACAGTACAATGCACAAAAGAATTCTTTACTTTCCTGACTGGTTATTCCCCTGGTACTTGGGATCTCCACAAGTACTTTATCCAAGTGGAATAAAGAGGTAGCAGGAATAACAGTTACAGAAAATCTTCCAGGGACCACTTCTCAATTCTCATCATATGGGATCATGGCAGATGAAAGTACAAGAGGTGATAAAAAAATATTTTTAGTATGTGTATCACATTGGAATGTAGTAAAAGAGAAACCTACACTTACAATTCTCAGCATGAAGGATCTGGATCGGTGCAATTCAGTTACTGTATCTACATCTGTACTTGAAGCAATTAGATCATTTATCTTGGATCCAAAACATTGTCTATATTGGCTTACTGATAATACTAGTTATATGTAGGGTCCAAGGGTGGTGTTGTTGTAAATTTCAATCAAAGATGTGAAATAAATGCAATTAGGATTCCATGTGGCCTACATGTTGTTCATATTGCAGCAACAACATTTGACAATGCTGTTTTTGGGAAGGTCAGTTCCCCCTCAGGTCTTTCCTTGAACCCACATCCATTCAATGTTATAAACTTTGCATATCACCTTCATAATGGTTACAATGAATCTAATAAAGATAACCCATTAAACATGAAAAATGAAACTATTAGTAAAATGTATAAAGCATTACTGAATTTAGACCTCAAAAAATAACAAAAGCCAATTACAAGCCGTTGGTTATACCAGTTAACTACAGCAAAGCAATACTTGGAACGTTGTGAGCTTCACCTTACATTCACTAATTGGTTCATAGAAAAATTAGAAGGTTCAAGGAATGTGCCTGAGGGATATTTACATAAATGGAAAACATTTTTGGAATTCCTACAAAATGAAAATTTAAATACAGAAATTTTAATAATGGTAAAATTTGGAGAGTGGTTCTATGAAAAAATAATATATTTTTTAATTGGCTCTGATACTAACTCTAGTCACCCTCTACCAAATGGGTATTGTGCACATCAAATGCCTGACATGGTTCAAACTTGGATTAGTGAATTAGAGAATGTTGTGCAGGCACCTGAAGAAGTCTTCATGGATGAATTATTGGCAGCTTGTGATCATTTGAATGAACAGGAATTTCTGGATCTGGCTCAAAGAATGAAAATAGGTATTGAAAAAACTTTGAATGTCTTCAAAAAATGGATGATTACCTGGACTAAATTTCTACTTTGGATATGCAGTCTTGGAGGAGAGCATGGCCCTGAATTTGCACAAGCTGTTCTCAATGTAATACTTTCTCATCCTCTTCCTGATGATCAACCTACAATAATAGTAAAAAAATATATAGAAAGATTAAATGAGAATTTAAAAGATCAAAACAATACATTTGGGTTATTTGAAGCATTGGAAAAAAATAACTTTAGAGAACAGTTCATTGCATTTTCAAAAGTTAATTATATCCAGTTAAAAGAATTTCCATTGATATATGATTTTGTTAGACATCGTATCTGACCAATAATAGTTCATCAACAACATCTTCAACTTACAGGTCCCACTTCATTTAACCATGTAATTACTGCAGAAAAATTGGCAGTGACCCGAGCAAAAAGAAGAGAGAAAGCTTCTTTGTCTATTGATCCAGTCATTGGTGAAGAAGAAGCAATAAGATTGGCAGAAGAGTTCTTAATACCAAAAATAAAAGTAATTGATAAAATTAATAAAATTTTTTCTTTTTATAATTCATTTTTTTCGAAAAAATATTTTATCTTTACCATATATTCCATCCAACACATGTGTTCCTGTTCATTAATCCCCTTTTTAATATTCAAATATCCAAAAAGAATTATGAATATTCAAATACATCAGATAATTTTTGGAATTTTGAATAGTCATAAATGTTTTGAATCATAAATAATCATAAATGTTTTGATAACTAAATATACTGTAGTTATTATAGATAATAAATATTTAATTGATGAAAATTGATTAATTTGATTTTATTTATTATACATTACAAAATATTTTACCTTTTCCTTCTCATTTGGTTGAATACCAAGTACATGTAATAAATGAGAGATACAATTATTAGTTGAAAGGTGTTATGCATTATTTAATATTAATGGCTCTATATATGGTATTTCAAATAGTCTTAAATATTTCAAATGAATAGTAATAGTAATAGTTTCAATATTAAATATTTCGAATATTATAAATTCTAGTGTAACATTTTGAAAAATTCAACCACTAAAAAATCCGCAAATAATAATTTGCTTATATGATGTGACATATATTTGATAATCAATAGCCATCAAACACCACATAAAGACCTGGTCTTTAGGTCCAGACCTGCGGACTTTTCCATCCCTATATCAATATCAGCAATTAATGGTTGGAACTCAACAAGTTGCAATTCAGAGATTGGAATTCAAATTATTCAACCTACTGATAACCCGGAAACATATGAGAATAGGATTCGACCAGGAGTATCTAAAGTTGTGCAACCCGCAGACATTGATGCATTCTTTACTAATCTCAAGAATATGTGGGTGGAGCGTAGACCTTCTTTATTTAATTATGGAAGCGTGAATAATATGAATGGAATGGCATTTCAACCACCTCAGCAAATTCTACAACAACCTGTGTTTCAACCACCTCAGCAGATCATTCAACAACCTATGTTTCAACTGCCTCAACTAGAGATGGGCAGATCAGTACTATACGTATAGTGCGTATAGTTCTAGAAAAATATAGTAGTAAACGTAAATCAATTCCTGTTTAGGTTATTGCCAAATAATAGATGTGATGTTACACATAAAAATTAATTAATACTCTTTCTCATGATAATATATATTTTAAACTTTCCTGCAATTTGGCAACATTTAATATTAACGCTCTAGTTCAATATCTAGATGTGAAAAACATTACATCTTTGTCCAAATGCCACAATTCAAATTAAAAGAAATTATTTTGGAGAACATTTTAATACTTCAAATACTTGGTGTACAGGTAAATTACAACATAATTGAAGATTTCATCAAGGAAGCTGATGAAAATTTTATTGAAGAATCAAATAAAAAATGAAAGAAGTTTTGATTTTTATGATATTTTAATTCATTCAATATAATTAATGATTCATAAATAAAAACCTAAAAAGTGTAGGTTGAATAAATTAAAGATTTATGCTTATCATAATAGCCAAATTATATTTTTTTCATCCAGTTTTGGAAAATCACCCAATCAAAATTCAACACTACTATACGTACTATACGCCATTTGCCCATCTCTAGCCTCAACGAATTGTTCAACAACCTGCATTTCAACAGCCAGAATCTCAACTATTTCAACAAAATTTTCGTCCCAAAACTGAGAAAGCCTAGTACTAGGGGTTAGCACCGTTAACCGGTTAATATATTTTTTTTAACCGGTTAACCACCATTTATTAATTTTTTTTTATATATTACAGTCAAACCTCGTCACAGCGGACCTCGCCACAACACATTTCTTGTTACAACGGATTTAAGTATTGTCCCCTTATTAAAATTAATTAAAACGTTTGTCATAATAATAACGGATTCTACTACTAATACTAATAATAAATTTGTTCCACGGATTTTTGATGGGGTCTTTATATATGTCTACGTGACATATAAATGTTTTCTCCCTTTGGAAAATGAAATATCTAATAATGAAAATTGAAAATTCAAGAAATATGGTCGAAGAGATTTCAAAATGATGTTAATAATATAATACTTGTTGAGAGTAACACAATGTCTAAAGTTTCAACAAAAGATGCCGTAATTTCCTTTGAGATAGCTTTTAATTTTCTTCAACAAGGTAATTTAGAAATAGTTTGTAAAGAATTTAAACCATTTAAACCATTGAAAAAAGTGAAATTATTAGATAATACAACCAAATATTACATCTTATTTCAACAAATAATTTTCATTTCCGTATGTATTATTCATTTATTCATTTATTTATTCCTGTATTTAGTTTATTAATTATTGCACTATACCAAACCTCTCTATAACGAACACTAAGTAAATTTCTCTATAACGAATTTCCCTTTTGTCGCCTGTCTCCGATTCAATTTTTTATAATTAATTTCTCTCTATAATGAACAAAAGCAGAAAAATGCATATAATGGACAGAGGGTTCGGTATAAGAGAGTGAATCATCACCAATTTTGCCGCTGCTGACTTCTTGTCATAATAATAATAATAATAATAACGGATTTTTTTGGCTGGAACCATGAATCCAATGTGGCGAGGTTTGACTGTAATCATTTATCATCTATTAAGTGTATAATAATAAAATTCGACAGGCACGTGATTATTTTGTAAGTAATGAACGATCGAATTTACCAGTTAAAAAATTCCACGTGACTAAATAACCTGTTAACCGGTTAACTCTTAATTTTAACGGTTAATTAACCGGTTAAAGAATTTTTGCGTGGTGCCAACCTCTATTTATGTTTCTGGATTGTTCCACCTGGTGGTGCTGATATGGATACTGATATAGGAGTTTGGATTTTCATTGAATGTAATATTGCGAATAAGAAAGTTTTTAATTGAATTAACTTTATTTTATTATCTTTTTTATGTTAATAAAGTTTTCTTTTAACAATGCATCCATCCAAATAATGTATTTGCGATGAAAGAAAATTAATTGATTTTCATTGGTTGGTTTTCTCTAATCAGCCAATCACGATTTTATTCAGCAAGATTGATAACGTAAAAGAATTTTGGTTCAAAAAAAAAATGAGTCAACGCACGGTCATTTATTCGTATTCCGGCTCTCAACAGAGAATCCCAAAACATTATATTAATATTTGATTCAAATAAATATCAAGAATAAATACTTTAATGCACAAGATTTTTTTATTTATAGAGATAAGAAGTTAGCTCGTTTGGATGATGAATGGTTACTCAAATCCAATGAAAGTGAGAAAAAGAAATATCTGAACAGGCAATTAGGATATCCAATTTCTCGGTAAAAACTTATGTTAAAGCCATGAAAATATGTATGGGGCCTACTTACTATCAGAATTTTTTTTATCGCATGTTTCCCAAAAATAAAATGACACAATTCACTAAATTTCCGGTTTTTTTTTAAATACAATAATTATGAAGATCGAAGGGGGCAAACGATTTTATATTGAAACAATGTGTTTAATATCAAGTTTCATAAAATCTACATTGAATTTTAGTTGAATCTTACCTGTTGAAAATTCTAAAGATATTTACCTCAATTGAATAATTAAAAAGATCACACTACATTCAATTTAGGTTTGAATAAAGAAAAATAAAGAAGGAAGATAGGACGAAGCTAACGATATTTTGGGTAAGAGGAAAGTGGCGATCTTTTCAGATATTTAAATTCAAAAATTTCCCGAAAAAGGGGCAGTATGTATTATAAATATAAATATGAAATATGATTCGTGTGTTAATAATAAATTATTGTGCCGTGTAACTTTTTGAAATTTTTGTTTTGCATCAAAATTTATTGATTTCTTTACTAAAAATATATTTATTCAAAAATTTTTTTCATTATATAAATAGTTGTAGAAAGCGAGCGAACGATCAAAATAAATCAATTCATTCCTTCATTCAAAAAAAAAAAATTAATTAATTTTTTCATTCTTTTATTTGTAAAAAAAATATAATTATTCAAATAAAAATTATTTATATAAACTTATATAATAAATACCATATAATATTATCCGCTTTTTTTAAAAAAGAAAAAAACATCCTTAAAAAATTCTTTTTTTATATAAAAATTTAAGAAATGCCACCATCTGTTACTACCGAAGTACAAGCACATAAATTTACAGGACATCTTGGAAATTTAAGTCCACAACAAGCAGAAGCACTAGAACAATTTCGACAAGAACTTAAAGACGAGGGTGTGTTTAACGAGGACCGACACGATGATGATTATTTACTCAGGTTTTTAAGAGCAAGAAAATTTGATCTAGTTAAAACCAAAAAAATGTTTATTGATTGTGAAAACTGGAGAAAAGATTTTGGTGTTGATGAGTTGGTTAAGACGTTTGATTATAAGGAACGTGATGAAGTGATGAAATATTATCCAAGATATTATCACAAAACTGATAAGGATGGTCGACCTATTTATATTGAAGAAATTGGCAAAGTTGATATTAAATCTTTATATCAGGTTACCACAGTTGAACGACAAATTCAAAATTTAGTGGTCGAGTATGAAAAACTTGGTTATATTAGATTACCAGCTTGTTCATTAAAACAGGGTGAACTTATTGAAACAACATGTACAATTTTAGATCTTAAAGGTGTTTCTATTCGATCATTCTCTAATGTTTTTGGATTTGTGAAACAAGCGTCTAATATTGGTCAAAATTATTATCCTGAACGTATGGGTAAGTTTTACATCATTAATGCTCCGATGCTTTTCGCTTCTGTTTGGGGTTTAGTGAAACCATTACTTGATGAGGTTACAGCTGCCAAAATCATAATTTTAAATAGCAAGTATCA